TGCTGCAGTACTGGCTGGGCAACTGGGCAAAGCTCCCTTCTGCCCAACAAGATTTAAATCTTCTTCTTCCACCTGCTAGGCAAGTGCAGCTTCTTTAACCACAAGACAATGGACTACACAGGCAATGGCATGAGATGGGGAGAAGACATCTGCCTCTTGTTGGAGCTATACCATGGTATAAAAGGTGTATGCACCTCCTTGGCCAGAGGGCAAGGAGAAGTGGACAGGAAGGACAGCAGCTTCCCATGGAGCAGAGACTCACAAGATCTGCCCCCTTTCTCCTAGAAGCACTTATAAAATCTGTTTTTTTATGTTTTCACTGAATGACTCCCCACTGCCAGAGGCAGGTCGCAAGACTCACACTTCCCTGGAGAAGGCTTCTTCTTGTGGACTGGAAGGCCACCTCCCTTCCTGGGCTCTCAGTGCTCCCAGTGGTTGCCCCAGATCTCACATCCCTTCCTAGAGCGTGATCTAGTTCTCCCAGGAGGAAGAGGAAGTGCTGTGCTTCCCTTCCTCACACCCCTCTCGTACCCCGCTACAGTCCCCTTCAGTCTGAGACGGGGGGACCATGTCTCCCACTTCACAGCCAGTTTACTGAATAGCAGCTGGATGTCTCCATCCGGACATCTTTTTGACTTAAAGTGATCGTATCTCCATTCTGAATTGAGACTTATCAGGGTTTGTTAAACATGCTCTTAGATGTCTTTCAGGAGATCTAGGGACATGGATGTCAAACAGCTTTAAGCGAAGTGAGTGGCTCAGCGTCTAAGGCAACTGTGGTCCTTCACATGAGAGACTGCAGAACACAGGTGCTCAAATTTGCCTTATTTCACTCATAAAAACACACCAAAGGGCACTGTTGCCAGAAATTCAGATAGTCACATGATTTCCTTCAAGTTACATGCAAAAAAGTTGAAGTCATTTATTCTATCTAACCCTGGGCTATTCTTTTGCATCCCAAAGAACGAGTTTATAACAAAAGCAGAACAGAAAAGTCTTTCAAACCAGTTGGGATTGACTTCATATTTGCGTTCAGCCTCAAATTTGTGTGTGTGTGTCCAGCAGCAGCTCCAAGTATGATTAAAAATAGAAGGGGTGACGTGAGGAAGGCGTGAGGGCGACGCGGCAGGGCAGCCTCTGCCCAGCCATCGACCGCACCCCAGACAGGCCTTACCGGGGACAGTGACCTTTTGGCCTCACATCAGGACGCTCCTAACAGCTGGCTCACATTCAGCTTACACAGCATTGGTAGAAAAGGCATTGTCCTTATGGAAAAAATTAGGCATGCTTTTAACCGGTGTTTTGGCCTACCCTCTCCTAGTCACTGGAGAGCACTTTCTCTCTGTCCTGGCCCAGCTTCCATTTTGCCAACAGAAAAAAAGTTCAAAGGGAGATGCAGTGGGAATTCAAAGAGAAAAATGAACCCACTGTTGAGCTGCTGCAGATACGGGCATCTCCTCCGCTTTTCTGAATTGGAACGACATACAGACTATTTATATCAAAAGTACCACTGCTTAAGCAAAGCCAGAAGCTCTTGCTGCACTTCAGAAAACACACAGAATGCACCTCCTGTAGTACTGACAACACACCAAGCATTAAACTAGGATTTCCACGGTATTGTCATCTCTCAAATAAATGGTGTTAGAAAACAGACTTTCTTCAAAGGAAACGTCAGCCAGAAGAGTGTCAGAAATGAGAACCCCTGCAGAGTTCCACCAAAACAAGTTTCTCCTGTAACAGTCTCGTGGGAATAATCTCTGTCTGACCTGAAAACATCTCAATCTAATGCCACATTCTGCTCTTGGTTTCAGAATGGATGTTGAATTTCGCAAGAAAAAGCCTAAAGCTGAACAAAAGTCAAAATTGGCTCTAATATTTTAATGTAGAACACACAGAGCATCTAGTGCCTGGATGCATTTTATTACATGCAATATTACATATTACAACCTGAGAAGATCCCTATAGGGGCTGCAAAGGATTCATGCTTTTTCTAACAACAGTTGCCTCAAGCCTGGCTTTGCTATGTCAAACACTTACATAAGAACAACCCTTCCAAATTCCCTTGTATGTATTTAATCATGAATATATTAATGATAGATTTTTTTGCTTCATCAACCCCGTTATGCTGCAGGATTAATGCAAACAACACAGCATGAGCTGCTTCTGCTGTTGCATTTTCATGCACAGACATGATCTCAGGTTTCATGCAGTCAACCTTGTATAACTATGATGAAAGCAAAAGGAAAATTAAGAACATAACTTGACAAGAGTATGGTAGCATGAATACAATTTTTTTTGAAAGTCAAGCTAATGTAAGCTATTTTGGGGCAGCAAAGGGCCTTTTTTTTTATCTTCGGGAGAAAAATAGTTGCATGTGGATTCAGTCTAATGTGATCAATACCAGATCCAACCTCGCCTATTCCACAGTCATATTCTAGAAACACAAGTTACTCTTTAAATGTAAATAGAGCAACTGAACAGCAGCAATTTGTTCATCTGAGGACATCATGCACACTGGGCCAAGTCTGCCAGCTCTCAAAGGCAGAAGTAAGAGGCCCTGCCCAGGGTGCAGCAGGTAACGTCAGCACCATTCAGTCATCCCCAGTGAAGTGCATCAGTCTGGCTCATGGATCCCCAAAGGGAGGACCCTCATCTACCACCCACCCCACATCCTGGCATGCTGCAGGCCTGTGGCAGTCTCCATCGCCTGCTGGACAAGGCGAAGCTGTGGGCAAGGCCGACAGCGATTCAAAGGCCACCCGTGGATGGCTTAAAGTTTATCTAAGCCCCCAGAACTGCCGGAAGTTTGACTTCCATCGCATACAGGATTTGGAAAGCTCAGGGAGGCAGCATAACACAGAGATAAAGGTTAACTATGCAGTAACATTAAGAGATAGCCAACAGATCCAAATTCCATTATGAAGGTTTTTGATTTTAATAGAACAATGTATCCAGCACAGAGGAGACTGTAAAAGAGAGTATCCTCACAGTTGCCACAAAAGCCCTGAAAATGTATATCAGATATTAAAGCTTTCATATTCTTGTAACAGGCACATCTTCCCTCCATGCTGCTCGATTTCTCTGATTTACAGTCATACTTAGCCAATGACTTCATGCAAAGAGTGCAAGATGGCAACATAGTCCACAGACAGGTATTTGTACCTCCAGGAATACCAAATCTAACAATTCAAATGTGAATCACTTGTCTCAAAGGATTCTCGTTGATTAAAATTAATATATCTTGAAAAGAAGATGACAGCTGAATGGCAAACGATGGGTGAAACATCTAAAAGGTGTATCACCAGGTGATTTATGGCAATCACAGTAAACGATAGTATCACCCTAAGAGCAGCAGATAAGATATGAGAAGTTCAGTGCATTTCTCATGTAGCTGATTCAAGGCATATCATCTCCATCTTCACGTAGGGAAAACGTAATTCAATACAGAATTTAATTTCTGCTGAAACTGTAGGGGACAAAAAAGTTTAAAATATCCCTTTCTGATACTTCCTTTACTGATTAAAAAGACGACATTGCAAAAGGCTTCCTGTCCGTGCCTACTTAAGAGTTTTCAGCATCACTGAATTTCAGTGTTATAAGAATATCAGACTAACCAAGCGCACGAAACAAGGAAGCATGAAACGATGCCCTATTTCAAGTGACAACGTCCCCTGCTTTTAGAGTACCTGAGGGACGGGGCAAACACCTCCGGAGCGCCGGGAAACGGGCGTCCCTTGGCGCGGGGGGCAGCGCGCACCGCGGGGGTGAAACGCGCTGCCCGGGCACGGCGCGCAGGCGACTCGCGCACTTTCGGTTTTCGTGGTCCGTGGCGGAATCTCGCCGCGCGGGGAGAGCCGCGCTCCAGTCATCAACAGCCGGAGCCTTCGGGCTCCTGCGGGGTCGCGGGGGGCTCTGTCCCCGGGCCGCCTCCCGCAGGCGGAGGTGAGCGCGGGGATGCGCGGCGGCTCCCACGCGACGCGA